TAGCAAACGCGTAACACTCCACAAGTGGAAATCTCAGTCCCACTAAAAGACTTGGATGCTTCTTCTGTATAAACATTTTCTTTTTCAAGAAAGTTGCATGCTGATTTCAAACCCACAACCTTTTCATTTTAAAAAACCTTTGTGTGCAAAGGATTTATACTTGATACTTTGTCCTGGACCTGCCATGTTTTTGCCTGTTTATTCATGGGAAGCAGCATATCACGTAGGGTATTTCTTGTTCATCAGTCCAAGGGAAGAGGCTTTTTAGTAAATGCCAGTTAGCTTGTTTCCAGTAGCCAAATCTATTTGCAGTCATATTCATCTGGAAAATGTTACTATATTGCTCAGAATTTTTATGGGAGGGAGGATCTGCCAAATGTCTCTCTGGTCACCCTGGGGTAATGTCATGCTGTTCTAGATGTTTATAAACTCTTTCTGGGTAGCTGAACTCGCTTTTTTGTACTTAATTGATTTTTATTTTTTCCCCTGTCAAACCTTGCTTGTACAAACTGTTTTTACCAACAGCTTCCACCTAGCAAGCTGGGTGGAACTAGCCCCCTGTCTGTCCAGGGCCCTATCTGGTATCACAGTAGTGAAAGGAAAGGAGCACAATTTGGCTGAAGTGCATAGAATGAGAAACAAAGGCAGAAGCAGTCAAACTCTAGGCAATTTTTGTTTGCAGGTAACTGTGAATGAATGTGTCCTCACTTTTAAGTATGCTGCATGCTGATTATTGGGTGAACAGAGATTTACTGAAGTGCTTTGGTCAAAAATCAGCAGTTAATTCCAGTTGCAAGAGAATTTTAACCTTGATTTGAGGAGCATGCTGCCTTCAGATGATGTGAACGTTTCAAAGATTAGAAATGAGGTGAAATCAACATCTTAATTTTAGCTCTCAGGGTTTCTCATGACTTAACACTTACATCAAGGATAGATAGGTTTGGCAAACATCTGCTTGGACAATCTTTTTAAGCAGAAAACCCCTTTGCACTTTCTCAGTTCTGCCTGTCTTCTGTGAAGTAGCAGCCTTCCTGTGGTTTGTAAACTAGCTGTGAAGAGGTAGCCAAGTTGTGTGCGTGTAATGTATACATATGGTACAGCTTTCTTTCCCTTAGAAAACTGAACAAATGTCTGAAAGAGCAAGATCTGAGCCAAACAGGACAAAGGAAGAATTTAGGGAAAAATTGCATAATGCAAGGCAAACAATATGACTGAGGAGGTTGCAGGCAAGGTACCTACCCACTGGGGAGATGGTCAGGGGAGGCAATAGCTGCGGGTTGCCCAATTTCAGATGCTCAGTTCTAGTCGGAAATACCTGTCACTAGACAGCTGGTGACTGAAGGATGGGGTGAGAGGGGAAAGCTGTGATCAGAGTCAGACTTTAGCTTGTGTGCTTCTCCTCAGTAAATTAGCTTTCCATTCCTAATCATTGCTAAAACAAGAAGTTACGTGTAAGTTGAACTGATTTTGAACTTACAGTATTGCGAAACCTCAAATGAGGTGTTTTTTTTCCCCCACCCTTTCCATTTGCTTTAGAGAAAAAAATTGTATGCTGTTGGAGGTGAGTTATTTTGCCTTCTCTATTGCAAAAGTGTGACGTATGTTTTTGGCACAAGCTTTAGTTTGAAAAATTATTTGGGGCGGTCAGAAGAGACCTCAGTGAAAAGGCAAAGAAGCTATTCATAGTACATAAGTTAACTGTCAGCAAATAAAGAATTGAATACGTAAGAAGGAAAAACAAATGCTAGTAAAAAAGTTTTATGGAGTTATAATTGGGAAGCAGAGAGAGACATACAGCCAAAAGATCTTGTTTTTCAGACTTCTCTGTAAACTTTACTGAACAGTCCTAGAAACCAAACTAATCCTAGATGGTCTTTTTGCAGTTTTATAGATTTTCTTTGCTTAGAAACTATAATGAGACCTAGTGACTTCAGCACACAGATTTTAAGTTTCTAAAGTCTATTCACGTTCTATTTTTTGTGACTGACAGATCTGGGAAAGAATACCAGTAGTATGGTGAGTCACGCTGTCCTTTCCTTCAGTCCTACATGTTGGTCCCAATCACCTTTCCGACAGAAGGTGATACAGCAAGCCGCTTGTATGGTTTCACCATTACTATTTAGTCCATTAAAAGTGTTTGTCTTTTAAGAAAACTAATGGGAATATTTTTCCCTAAGCTTGGACTGTTTCAAAGATGCTTTGTTCAGATTACTTGCTGCTTTGGAAATTGGAAGTGTCAGCAAATATTTTGTTATTAAATGATGACTCTCTTCAGTTTTTTTTTTTAAAGGTGGATGTTAGAAAAACAGATGACTAAAACTGATCTGCACTGAATGCAAGGCCACTGTGTGTGCTGACTGGGGGGGAAGTGCACTTGCTGGCTTGCTAAATTGAGATAATACTTTGGATGTTGACGGACAGAAAAACAATTAGAGCTGTCAGATTCTTTGCTGACGTGTGTATTGTCACATGGGGAGATGGCTTGTTTGGTGCCAGTAAATTTGAACTGTTCAACTCTCAGCAAGATATTAAGTTAATTAATAAAGTTCCTTACAGTTGGGCATGTAATGTGAGGTCTGTTTATTTGTGAAGACAGCTTCTCCAGGAATAAACAATGGAGGTCACTGATAGGGCCTCTTACGTGTTTTCTCAGTCAGTGTTGGATTGCAGGCTAATGAAATACTTTCTCCTGCTAGTTTATTGGTGCATTAAAATGGCCTGACTTACCTGACTGAAGAGTTTCTGTATTTGTATACTTTTCAAACTTGTGTGGATAGTCATTTTCTTTGAAGCATGTCATGTTACATGGGAAAATGCTTGTTTAAACTATTGACCTCTTTGAGTTTTCGGGTGCTCACTAATGTCTCAAAGGAATAAACTTCTGTATACACTGGTGTTCTCAAAAGCTATCATTTTTCCATTTATTAATTATGCAAGCTTATTATTAATATTATTAATAATTATTAAAATAATTACTATTTAATTATTTGAAATCAAGCTTTACTTGTACATTTGGACTTAGATTTCTTTTTTTTTTTTCTAAAAAAGGATACTTCTGCACAGGGATTTTGGTGTGCATACTCACTTTACAGCAGGATCATTTAGTGTTTCTCCACTAAATCTTGTCCTGCTGATGTGGTTTGACTGCTCTGCCCTTTGCAATGTTTGAGGTGTGCTGCTGCTGAATGTCACAAGTTGTCAGATGAAGATCAAGAGGTCTTTTGGGCTATGCATTGATACTTGTCAGTCGCTGAATGGAGTACATGTAGATGCTGCAGAAGGGAAACAACCTTTCCGTTGTAGCTTGAGGGTTATGCTAGCACATCTTTTTCATGCAGAAAGAGATGTTGACTTCATTAGGAGAAAGCAGTTCTGATTAGGCTGTAAAATGAACTGTATTAAATTTTTCCCTCCAGGTGCAGTTCTGTTTAGTCTATCATCATCAGATTACCTTTTCTTTGTGTAACCCTACCCAGCTTGTCTTTACTAATCTTCTCTAATTTTCAGATTTCTTTTACTGTGTTTCTGTGTTGTTCATTTCTCTGGAATTTAACTCTTCAAAAATATTTTCTTTAGTTTTATCATTTTACATGTATTGGATTACCTGATTGCATGAACTTCCTTTACTGTATTATCGTGCCTTATTTTCCCCTGTCTGCTTAAATAATGCAAACATCTCATTAGTTTTTTAAAAGGAAAAAAAAAATGGTGGTTTTGTTTGTTTTTAGATAGACTGTTATACTTGGAGTTTTTATTTCAAAATTTTTGAAGTTCAGCATTTGAGCGGTTCCAGCTAGAAACTGACTTTTGTGACCTGTAATCCAGGTGGATCTGTTTAAGCAGAACAAAAGTAGCTCCTAGTTGAGCTGAGCCTGGAACAAAACTTCCAGGGATCAAATCAGCAATTATCTAGATGTTATCATTAGACAAACCTTGAATGTTTTAACGTAATGAATATGTTTGTGTTTCTGGAAATAAAAATAAACAAATAATAATAAAAATAAAAAAATAAGAGAGCAAATGGTTGATTGCTAGGTTGTAACTTAGTTCCCTAGATATAACTTTTTTTTTTTGTGCACTGACATCTGATTGAGTGCAGAAAGATTTTTGGAATCGTGACATTTTTTGTCTCTCAAAAAAAAAAAAGAAGGCAGCACTGACTATTTTTTTCCATTTGCAAACATTAGGAATTTTCTTCTAAGTGAGATTGTGAGCTAATTCACTATATTAATTGGTACAGCTTCAGCGTTATTTCACTGAAGGCAGTAGAACCATACTCAAAAGCAAGAATTGGATAGACTATGTTGTATAACTTACTTTTTGGTTTAGTGTCATTGCAGTGCATGTGGAAAAGCCCAGGGTAACATTTAAGCCAAAGTCTAATTTACAGAATCAGCACAATGTTGGCAAGTACGGAAGTACCTCCAAAGCATTTTCCCAATGTCCCTCCTTGCTCTAGAGAGAAAGAAACGATCTTTCTGCTTGCTTTCCTTTCTGGGTTTTGTAGCATTTTCTATATGGTACTAGGAACCCTCAACTACTTCTGTATGGAGAGAGCAAGGTGGGACACTCAAGGATGGCTGTAATTAAAGACGTTTCCCCCTTGTTTTGCTGTACCTGATATGAATTACTGACCTGACGTGAAAATGTCTCTAACCATTCCCTTGAGACATCCAGGCAATATGTAACGGAAGGAGGGCACTTCTTACTGGAAACTTATGGATTTACCTTGGAGTTGTTTATTTGATGCTATTTCTGTTGGTGCTCTTTTTGTCATAATTTATATTAGGAAATAAACTGTAATGAAACTTCTGGCAAGTCTAAAATAACAGAATACGTAGAGATTGCCAAAGCAAGAGATAATGGTTTCCTGCTATTAAGTTAAATAAATGAGACCATGTACCTCTTCTACCCAATAGATGCTGAGCTGAATTTATTCACTTTTTAAATTGGTAATACCTCTCTATAAACACCAGGACTTTTTTTTTTTTCTCTTTTAGCTTCTGAGAGAAGACTTGCATTATCTCTTGTGTAGCTGCAAGTATGACTTGACTGGGTTGCATTCATGGCTCTTGGATGATCTGGTGAACCATGGAGCTCAAGGTATGGGTGGATGGAGTCCAGAGAATTGTGTGTGGGGTCACCGAAGTCACAACATGCCAGGAAGTTGTAATAGCCCTTGCTCAAGCTATTGGTAAGTAACTGTCAGCTGGATGCCTTGGGTTTGGGGTGAAGATAAACCAAGGGGTGGTGGGGTTGTACTGAGTCTCAGAAGAGCATGAACATATAAAGCACAATGAAATAACCTTGTAGTGTCTTAGAAGGCAAAGTAAACTTGCTGTCTTTGGGTTTTCTTAACCTGCTAGAGAGAAGTTTAAAATAAAAATAATAATAATTAAAAAAAATGAAAGTTGTAAACTTTCAGTAAGAATTTGTTTTCTGAATAATTATATGCTGCTGTTTGTCATTGTAAATACAGTCTGGAGTGCTGAACTGTCGATGTTTTGAATACCAAGGATACATAAAAGCCATGCAAAACAGTTGATTGGTTTTCACAAGCTAGTGATGTTAATTGAAATTATACACATTGAAAGAATATGTAGCTGTATTGGATATAGTATAGATCATTAAAATATATCCTTCAGGATATATTTTTCGTCCTGCACTCCACATAACTTGATAACTTGATAACTTGACTTTTTCGTCCTGCACTCCACATAACTTGATACTAACGAAAGGATAACTTGAAGTTTGTTCAGTTTTAGCTATTTGCTGAACAGCTTATAAAACAAAATCAACAACGCCAAACCAATCATCTTTGAAGCTCCAGTGCAATAAAGAAGAGTCTTGTTAGTGCTGTCTTCAGTCTTCTCAGGTCTTTCTCAGTGGTTGAGAGGATCTCTCTAAAATCTCGCATCCAGTGGTAAACTGTAAAGTGTGCTTTTACTGTTTGTATTAGTTGCAGATTTTCATTTATTCCTAATCAGTTTGTGAATTGCTTTCTTCCATATCTCATTTTCTGCCTGTAGATTTTTAAAGATAGTTATGCTAGGATGATGATTTCCTAGTGATATAAAAAGCATCACATACATTTAAAAAAAAAAGAAGTGCTTGTGGTAGCCTTTTCTGTTCTTTACCTTACTTACAGTATCTCTTTCATCCTTTTTCATCCTTTTCCTTTTCCTCTTGCCCAGAAAACAAAAATGTCAGGATCCCAATTCTAGACAATACTCTTATCTTCTCCCGTGTGATTTCTTTTCTGTCTTTTTTTTTTCCTGCCCTCAGTTATTGGCTTGAATTCTGAAAACACTGTCAGTCTTGGAAACGCACACAGTTTTTGTCAATTGAGCAGACTTCCTTTTCTATAACACATCACCAGTTCACTTGGGGCATTCGACTCTGTTTCCATGTGGAGATAAATTTCAATTGCAACCAGAGCCAAATTAAGATAATTCCAGGTCATATAACTTTGGAAAATCTTTTTTTAGGCAAATATCTTCTCTAGAAAACACCTAGAGTAACCATATTCCAGGTTCTCAATAGGGCTGCTTGGGCAATATTAAACACCCATATAAATTATACCTCTTTGGCAGATAGGGTTTTCCCAACCTTCCTATCAGGCCATTTATCAGAAAAGCAACCATATGTCTGCTTCTTTGATTTGGCTTGTATGTACCAGTTTACCAGGAATAACTGTCACTCAAATTTGAATGGGAAGCTATTAAAATGTATTAGTTTAGTTCCCACCTGACATTTGGTGGTGGAAAGTAGCCAGTCTAAGTTGGCTTTCTCCTTGGTTGGCTCTGATCTTATTTTCCACTTCTCAGTCTGTCTCCTTCAGCAGTCACATAGTTTAGCAGGACTCAGTATTATTTTGTCTGCCTGTTAGTCTGTCTGCAAAGTTATTCTGATGCTCCTGTTGTTTTATTTTTCTTACGATATATTGTTAAGTTCTTGACTTAAGCAATGCAATCCATGACCTCCCAACAGTACAACCTTCACTGAACCTGCAATATGAACTGCAATAGATAATATTGTTTGTGTTGAAGTGCAGCAGCAGGAATATCTGCAAATTAACTTATTTTACAGCTACATCTGCTGAAGAATGCACAAGCCAAAGATATTTGTCAGTACCTTTTGAAGACATCTGCAGCTCATGAAGCCTCTCATGGACAAACTAAAGCTGCCTCCGTTCTAGAGATAAGAAAAATAAAGCTGTACAATTTATTAAAAAATAGGAAAAATAAAATTAAAAAATAAATAAATAGAATGGGTTCTGCTAGAAAGATATTTCTGGAGATCATCTGATTCAGCCCCCCTGCTCAAAGCAGGGTCACCTAGAGCAGGTTGCTCAGGACCGTGTTCAGTCAGGTTTTGAGTATGGCCAAGCATGGAGAATCAACAACCTGTCTGGGGAACCTGTGTCAGGGTTTGGTCACACTGGTCACACTCACAGTTAAGAAATTGAGTGTTTTGTTTTGTTTTGTTTTGTTTTGTTTTTCCTTCGTGCTTTGTTCTGCTACTTGATCAAATACATTTCTCCTGATCTCCCACTGTAGGGGAAGACCCCCCAAAAAAAAAGTTTTCATCTCTTTCCGTTCCAGCTCTTCTGTTATATCATGGGAAGTCAGTAGTAACCTACATCTTAACCAAACGAAAGCAGCAAGTCCAGCAAGTCATGTTAGGCTATACACTTTTGTATAAGATTCTGCCCTGTAGCCAAAGTATAGCCTAATCCCTTGGTATTGAATAGGAGTTCTGTCACTTAACTTGCCTATGTAATGCTCTTTGACCCATTCCTTACAAATTAGTTTCTGTCACTAGTGCTCTTTCAGTGGAAATGTCTGCACGTCTCTTCCTTTGAGGCTGTACTCCTGATGGATATCATTTGTGTTTCTTCTTCTTGCACGATGATCTCCTTCCCCTTTTGCCCTTTTCTTTATCATTGAGGAGTAGCAAATGATTGCATTCCCAGTTTCTGTACAAATTAGTTTTTCAGTTTTCGTTATGCTTGAAGCTAATGGTTAAATCTCAAATAAACCTAATTTTTGTAAAAAAAAATAAAAAATAAAAAATAAATAAAATTCTTTGATTCCAGCAAAGCTGATTTAAAAAAAAAAAAAAAAAACAAAAACACAAACAACACAAACAAACAAAAACGCACACATATTTTAACAAATGAGGAAGAGAATAATAATAATCAGACATAATTTTGGATAATGTTTTGTCTCAAACTTAGAGAGACAGTCTCCAGAAATGCCTTAGCTGGAGGGAGGGTCTCTGGAATTTTGGTCAATTAAGTCATGAAACTATCAGGTTACAAGTTTGCAGAGAGTGAATTCTCCTCGCACTGGTATCTTGGAAGAATACTTGACATTACCTTTAATGAGTTTTATTCAGGGACACTATTTTTTTTTTTTAATTCAAGCTGCTTGCAGATTATGAAGTAAGATGAAAATTGACCTTACATACAAGAAAAGGTTGTTTTGTCATCAAAAACTAAGGCTTCAACACTTCAACATAATGCAAGAGTGTACCACAGTGCACAAATTAAATGGAAAACTGTGGGTCTTGTTTTAAAAATACTTTTGTCAGGAGAGATTTTTTTAAATCACATCCATCGCTGTCTATTTTAAAAATGTATATTTGACAGCAAATTCTGCCTGTTTTTCTGCTTTCACTAGCTCTTCAGTGCATTCAGTGAAAATTGTGCCAAAACAGCTTCATATAAATTTTGCTTGCTTGTTTAAATTTCTCCTCTTAAATTGGTCCACTGAAAAAGATATGTGAAAAAGTTACTGATTTTTTTCACCTGCATGTGTGAAGAGATGGTTGGTGAATCCACTCAGTGCTTCACAAAGTTGTATACAAACTTACAGCCTGATGTGTATGGGCATGGTGGCTCCTCTCAAAATATACTGGGGGGGGGGGGGGGACGGCAGGAGGGAGAAACAGGCTGCATGCTAAAGATTGTGAGCTACTTGTGTTGGAAGTTAGTGTAGACAGATGTAGTTTAACATCAGAAGTTTTATTTAAAAAAAAAAAAAAAAAAAAACAACAACAAAAAACCACAAAACTTTTCCTATCTGTTTTCCATTCAGATCTTAAAAATAAATATTCTTTCAAAGGAATATGATGATGAATGGAGCAGCCACAAACACACTTGTCCTGTTTCTTCAGAAGTGGTGGTCTTCCAGTTCTAGCCCCATGAAGATTTTTACTGCATTTCTTGTGATTTCCTTCCCTTCTGGAGACTGGAGTGTGTCTTCTGTACCCCTAATGACATGTTTGGTTCCTAGAAAATGAATATTGTAGTCTAGAGAAGTGAATCTTGAATTTCAAACCAAAGTAGATTTTGGTTTGCCTTGCTGAACAGCAGTACAGCTGTCTCTCTTCAAAATTAAGCAAATGCAGCTGTCAAGTTTTTGTTGTTGTTGTAGTTGAGTATTCTTCCTGAAGATGAACTGGATGCATTTATGAAAATAAAGCAAAGACTTATTCATGCTGTTTTAAATATGCATTACAGCATTGTAAGGCTCAGCCAGAGCTCTATCTGGAAAAATCATGCCTCTTCAGTGTTGTCTCTTTTTATGTTCACCCCTTCCTCCAAACAATTTCTGCTAAAGCAAGTGCCAGAGCTCGCTGTCAAAGGCTTTGAGTAAAAAGAATCTGAGGTTGAATTGAATCATAGCAGTGAGTTTGAGGGGGGTTAGAAAAAGGGAATAGTATTTGTTGTGTACAAACTAAAGTTTTCAAACATTGGATTAATCATGTAGTGTACTGCTGAGAATCACTTAAAACCTGTGTAACTTTTCACCCCAGCTTTTCATTCTTTACTGGTTTAAGTAGCAATGTTGATAGAGATAATAGAAAGCACAAGAGAGCGGTCTGTGGTGGTGGTCCCAAAGTGTGCTCATGTGAACTTCATGGTTTTCTAGTTACAGGGTGGTTGGATGGGGTGATTCGTTGCCGCCTTTGCTGATGTGGTCTGTCTAGTGTAGCAGTGGCACATGCAGCTAAGACCTGGGCTGGTTTATCTGCTTGCTACATCTTGCTGTCTGACCTGGGCCAAACTGCCTCCCCATCTTTGCTCTGCATTGCTTTGCATATTTAGGAAATCGGTATAACATAAGTGCATTACTGTGAGGTGCTTAGATGAAAGGCAGCTAGATGGATGAGATGACTTCAAGTGCTTTGTCTTGTCAGATTGCAATCAACTATTGTATACCCCATGTAAGAGAAAGGTTAACACTAATAAACCAAGGCTTCAGGCCTGATTAAGGCACACAAATGCATTGCAAGCACAGCTAGTCGTACTGAACCAAGTAGACTGCCTCACTGTCATTATATATGAAATATATTTTATATATTTCTGTGGGCATGTTTTACTAGGACTTCGACCCCCACTCTGATTTTCCTTGTTTTCTATGGTATGGATACATGCGTATGCAAAATATGGCATGGGTTAAGAAACCTGAGTAACACAAACTCTGTCACCTCTGTTTTAAAGACTTTTTTTTTTTTTTAATATTTCTAATCATTCTTGTGTACTTAATGAGTTTTGAGGTAGCTGGAATGATTTTTTAAAAATTTGCTATGGATGTTAAGTATCACATAGTGCATGAAATGTGAGCTTCATATTTTACAAATACTGAGCTCAAATCATACTGGGTTTATTAAAATAGCCACCAATTACTTTTCCATCAGAGCCATTAAAGATTCAGGAGTTGATGATGTTGTCCCTTGGTAAGGCAGAGCATTTTCTCTGAAGTGTTTGATATGTTAAGAGTGCCTGCAAAATTTTCCCCATGTACAATTCTTTTTTTTTATTGCTTTGTTCAGGAAGACAGCATCCTGCCTGGGGCTGTGGGTTACCCATGGGAAGCCAAGAAGGCCCAGACTGGGGAGAGGGCGTGTTCATCAGTGCCTCCCAGAGCTCTGGTCAGAAGAGGGGAAGCTGGAAGTGCAGCTGTGTGGCCTCTGGTGACAGAGGCCTGCTCTTGCCCACTCAGGCCCATTCTGTAGGGAAGGAGAGGTCCCTCCCCACGGGGAATGAGTGCTTGTCTCCCTACTCTTCCCAGAAATAATGTGAGACCAGAGCAAAGCCTCACCTGCCTGTACTGACTCAGTGCTGTAGGTCCTAGTCATGAAGCAGAAAAGAAAATTAAAGAAAAGATGAGCTTTTGTGCTTGAAATAACCTCATTATTAAAATTATTGAAGTAACCTCATATGGCCTGACTAGAACAGTAATTCAAAGAGCTCTGTTTTTACACGGTACATTGTGCTACCTGCATGCAGTGATGCGCCTGTCCCTGAAATGCTTTTTGTGTAAAGGTTCATGCCCCTTTGGGAAGGGGTGAAGGGATGATTCATTCCTGTACTGAAAAGCAGTATTGATGACCTCTCAAGTTAGAATCCTTCCAAAAGTGTTGCATGAGAAACATTGCTGCTACTAGTTTCCTTTGAATTCATTTTTCATTTTTGACAGCAGAAATAGTCGTTCATGTGTTCTTTTTCAGCTGCAAATATTAAAGCAGATAGAGAAGCTTGAAGTGAATAATAGTTGTGTGTCCTACTATATTCATGGAGTGTAATTAAGAAGTCCATCCCTTGAGAGTCTAAAAAGAAATGCCCAATTATATTGTTCCTGTGTTTCAATATTTTAATCACCGTTCATTGTAATGAAATCTGTGTTTAAATTACCAAATTAGGTCAATCTCAAACTAAGACTACATCAGTCAGGCACATGACATGGGCATTGAAATCTGTGGTGTCTGACTGTGCAGAGAAGCAGAGGTTAGTACAGGATGCTGGTTGTAGTGAGCTCTTTAACGGCTCATTGATCAAGTGATACCCGATAGCATTAGAAAGAGCTGAGTTCAAAACAGTGTACCCAGATTCACTGCAGGCTGTCAGAGTTCTGGAGTCCATATTTCCTTTTTTGATCTATTTCTCCCTTTTAAAATAAAAGATTGTTTTGAAGACATTCCGTTATTAATAGAGCCTGTGATAAGTTTTCATGCCAAGGTAGCTTTAGGTATAAACTTAACCTGTTAACCTTGACACTGACCCTTTCTGCAGATGCAAGGTGCTTTATGTATGTTGTAAATATATACATACTTTGTTATAGTTTGTAATCCATTGTTTTGCAAAACAGACATGAATTCTTGATGACTGTTTTGAGATGGCAATGTTACGTGGTCCATGTCAGGTTCAGCAGACCAGCACAGAATATTAATGAGAACTAGTTGGGCAGTGAATGGGATGTAGAGGCTCTCTGCTTCTCTCCAGTCCCTGAATCATTGTTTTCTGAGGAGGAAAGCGTAGAATACAGCACTGATGATGCTTGGTTTGTGCTGACTGGATTGTTTTCTCTACCATTCTCATTGGTATGGCATTTTGGTAAAGTATTAAAAAAATAATAATAAAAAATCATCTAATGTGTTTTAATAGTATACATTCTAAAAAAGTTTGTTTTCAGGCGTTGTAAGGGATCCACTAACAAGGCATGTACCTGCTGTGAACGTTGGTACAATAAAGCTGTGCTGTGTCAGCTTCTTGAATAGTCTGCTTCACTGCTTATCTAGCTTTATCTGAAGATATTTCATAAATCTGCATGAGATTAAATGTATGGAATATATAGCTTGTAAAAACACCGTATGGTTTAATGTATGTTGTACGTTGCTTATGTGAGGCACATAACATAAGTAAAACTAACAAGTTCATTTTTTAAATAAGGTTTGTGTGAATAAGGAAGGGCTGAGTTGTTCTGCCAGGTGCTGCATAAACACAAACAAGTCTGTTTCAGAAAGCTTTTGGACAACATACAAGACAAGAAGCAGCATACAGACATTGCACTGTTCTTTGTCAACAATCAAAGCAACCTGCTTTCTCCTTGCTAGTGGTAGCACTTCAAAAATAGCAGTTTGTTATAAGGATACCTGTATTCTTAAATATTCTGTCATTAGTTTTGAATCAGCTCACTCACCCTTTAATTTGTGAATTAATCCCCTCTAATGCAAGCAAACATCACTGTTGTGGTTTTCTAGGTATTGTTAAACACTGTCATAAATAGCCTGAATAGAGTAAACCTAGGTAATGATCTCAGATGAGGACAACTTTGTTTTAGACTAGTATTGAACTCCAGGTGTGGCTGTTGAACTGTGTAAATATGACTTTTACTAAATACTTTCCTTTATGTGGCTCTTGAGCATGGAGTTCATTATTTAGGACTGCATGTTGATTTGGAATCCTGATCTAAGATGGAAATAGTTCTTGGCAAGCACTTTGCTTAATTCCCTTTTTCATTTTTGGTTGAGATTGCTAGCTGTATTCCCTTCCCCCCTTTTCTGTTTTGCCTCTTACTATGTTTCTTTTAAGCAGTGCATTTAGTAGCAAAGTGCTAAGAACTTGCATGCTGACCACTCCCCTAGTGGTACCCTAATTACAATTTTAAGACTTATTTGAACCTGGCTGTTTCTGACACAACAAGAACACTAGTAGCATTACCATGTTTACAAGATGAAAGCTGAAAGCTTTTAAGATTAACAAAATAGAGTGGAAAATACAACCTTTGTCCTAGGATCTGTAGCACACTTTCATTTTTCTTCCTTGGGGTTTTATTGTTAGTACACTGTGGCAAACAGCACTAGGTTTATTTTTCCTATAATAACACTGATGCCTACTACAAACCATAAATCTTAATGGGTCAACGAACAATATTGTGGGTTGGTGAAACAAACAAATAAATAACATCTGACTTTGTATCTTGGCATAATAAACTTGGTTTTGAAGTAGTTTATGACAATAAACTTTTAGATCTGTTTCTGAAAATGTGGGCTAAGCACAGTAGTATGTTTATCGATAGACTTTCATTTTTCCCCAGTGCTTACCTCAAGTCGTTTATTTATAAGGCATTAGGGGAGGTGGAATGTTTCCATACTGCTTGCCCTGTTTTGCTGACTTCAATCATTTAAATCTTTGCATCTTCTTTGAGCTTTCACTCCTAACTTGGAAGTGAATGTGGATGCTTTGGCCTCTTATTTGGCCAGCTAACTATTGCTGGTGTGATCCACCAGCCAAAGCAATCTGCTTTCTAGATTGTGCCTGTCAAGCTGATTTTTGTTGTTGTCTTCATCATGAACTACTTGTGAGAAAGTGAGATCAGAGGAGCCATTTCCAGCAAACTACCCGTTCACCTGGGGAGCTCTTTCAAAGGCTGGTCTGATGCTAGCAGATTTTAGGGGGCTACACCATGTGTCAATTGGTGTGGCAGAGCTTGCCTCCTACGGACTGGAGGTGGGGAATCTGTGCGAGTGTTGCGGTTGGAGGCCAGAGGCAGACTTCCAGCCCAAGACTGTACCTTGGGGGAAAGTGCAGGTGGAGAAAGTGAACAAAACACATCAGATGGACATCAGACACCTTTATTCCAACTCCCCCAACTCATAGTTGCATAAATGACTGGCATTTCAAGCGTGTATGTGCTGACATAAGTTACCATTTAAATGATGGCCTGTCGTGGCAGTGGATATGTGTATGGCATTAAAATAGCAAACGATGTGTTTAGGGCTAGCGGTAACCACAGAACCGTTCCAAAATCCCCTGGGATAACGCGTGCTTTAAAACCAGTCGATTTTCGGCACCTTTTTGCCCGCGACGCCGTGGGCTTTCGCCCTCACGACGGAGACCGCGCGGTGTGGGTCGGTCCGTCCGTCCGTCCGTCCGTCCGTGGGGGCGCCCCGCGGGCCGTGCCGGGGAAGGGCCCCCCGGAGCCGCCGATGGGGCCGGCGGCGGGCCCTGCCCTACCCGGGGCGGCGGCGCCCCCTGGCGGGGCGGCCGCTGACGCCTGTCCCTGTTCCTGTCCCTTCAGGGCGCACCGGTCGCTACGCGCTGATCGAGAAGTGGCGGGACACCGAGCGGCACCTGGCGCCCCACGAGAACCCCGTGGTGTCGCTCAACAAGTGGGGGCAGTACGCCAGCGACGTGCAGCTGATCCTGCGCCGCACCGGGCCCTCCCTGAGCGAGAGGCCCACCTCGGACAGCGTGGCTCGCGGCCCCGAGAGGACTTTGTACCGGCAGAGCCTGCCACCCCTGGCCAAGCTGCGGCCTCCAAATGACAAAGCCATGAAGCGGAGGGAGCCGAAAAGGAAGTCCCTGACCTTCACTGGTGGGGCGAAGGGGCTAATGGACATCTTCGGTAAAAGTAAGGAGTCTGAGTTCAAGCAGAAGGTGCTCAACAACTGCAAAACGACGGCAGAAGAGCTGAAGAAGCTGATTCACCTCCAGACAGATAAACTGCAGTGCATTGAGAAGCAGCTGGAGTCCAACGAGGCGGAGATCCGGTACTGGGAGCAGAAGTACAACTCCAGTCTGGAGGAAGAAATCCTCAAGCTAGAGCAGAAGATCAAAAGAAACGAAGTAGAGATCGAGGAGGAAGAGTTCTGGGAAAACGAGCTGCAGATCGAGCAAGAGAACGAGAAACAGCTAAAGGAGCAGCTCCAGGAGATGAGGCAGAGGATCCTAGAATGCGAGAGCAAGCTGAAGGACTACGTGTCGCAGATCCACGATATGGAGAGTGGCCTCGAAGCGGAGAAGTTGCATCGGGAAGTTCAAGAATCCCAAGTGAATGAAGAAGAGGTCAAAGAAAAGATTGAGAAGGTGAAAGGTGAAATTGATATTCAGGGCCAGCAAAGTTTACGATTGGAAAACGGCATCAAAGCTGTAGAAAGATCTCTGGGCCAAGCTACCAAACGGTTACAGGTAAGAACAACCTTTTTATCTATGGCTAAACAGAAGTCAAAAACCTGATTATAACATTTTTTTTTTCTAGCACAGATTTCAAGCTGACAAAGGAATGCATAAGGAACTTTCCATGGTGAACTTGGGTAAAAGGAAGAAAAAGTTGCTTCCATTTTCAAATTGCGATTCAGATTGCTTTGAAGAACAGTCAATTTTAATTTTATCTATCACAGACAACCTCTCCTTATTCACATGCAGGCTAAGTTCCTTCCCCATCAGTTAGAGCACGTTTGCTGCCATTCACTGACTGCTCAGTGACCTCTGAGAAATCATTCAGAGCATATCTTCACCATACAGTGGAGTGTGATAGCAAAATACCAGAGCTAGTATCAGCCAAAGTAGCTGAGGGCAATGCAGCCGCATCCATGGCAATGCATCTGGCCCCTTTGCCCTGCTGTGAGGGAGTGTTCATTACCTCAGTGTAGCACTGTTACGCTGGTGAGTCTGCATTGTTCCACAGCTCAAAAAAAAAAAATCTCTTGCATGAACAATAGCACATTCAGCGCTAGCCGAGGGATGGTTGTATTGCAGGGTGCTGAACAGGACCATAGTGCTCTTGGCCGAACTCTTTTAAAAGCATTTGTCTTCAAACCTCTGTTGATTTAGGGTTAGATAACTTGAGAATTTAGGCCCCAGCTCTTGGCAGATCAGTGCATTATATTAAGTTTCAGGGAAACTGGCACCACCATAGCCTTTTCTGAAGCTAAACTTCGGATTGTTGTTGGTTATTTCTGCTACCAAAGATGATGAATTAAAAAGTACAGTCCAAAAGCAGCATCTGGATAGTAGATGGATGTAGAGTTAAAACAGCTGCTATCTTACAAGGACATTGTTTTAAAGAGCAGCATCTCCCTTTTCCTGTCCAGCTTGCCAGTGTTCAGGATTTTCTCTCCACATCAGGCAGTTGTGGCACGTGTCACAAGAGAATCCAGTCTCTACTTCCTTTCAAGAGCTGATGATATCTCTTGGAAATTAATAGAGCACGAAAGAATAAATATAAATGGAAATACAGCTGCTAGCAGAGAGGTGAAGGAGAGATTGTAACTCTGGGGATCAAATCCTAGACTTTTAACGTACCACGTAAGACTGAGGAACCAACACATCCATTTGAGTTGTGATTCTGGCAGTATTCCTGGGATTCACAATCACTGTATTTCACAGGGCTGCAGTTGCAATCAGATAATTCCACTATAAATATGTAAAGGGATTTTGCATCCTTACTCCTGAACACCCAGAACCATGTGTATAAGTTGTCTTTACAAAATGAGTGAGAAAAATGTGATCTTTTCACCTAAAGCAAAACAGATGAAAACTGTAAGCAGTTCTGGCCATATTTTTCTAGCCTAGAGAAATTATGCATACAGATTTCTGCTAACTGAAATTATTGAGTCCTCAGTAACACTCACTGAGGCTATGATTATGTTCAGAATGTTCTGTGTTACATTCCTTTTGTAGGCAAGGGTTTCACTTTCTTATGGAAGCTCCTGGTAAGTTCAGGTCTTTCAAGCTTGTAAACTTAAAGGTGCATTGATCTGGAAGATCAGAATGAAATAAATTCAGCTCTGTATTACATAGTTTTGGGAGCTAGAAATAGAGAAATAGCTTCTTGCGTGCTGAAAGTTAAATAATATTATCACTGATAGAACTAATTGATACGAAAATAGAAAAGTTGAGATGGGGTTTTTAGACCTTTCAATATGAAAGAAAATGTTAGTTCACTATACTGAAAGTGATGAGAACACAGCTGGCATTTTTAATAGACTTTTCAGAAATGTCTGGTGATTTGCCTTACCTCTTACGTCATTCCTTTTCTTTACCATCCTCCCACCCCCACCAGTAGAGATAGCTTTCCAAAATATGAGGCTATGTTCAGTTATGGATTAGATGCAGAATTATGCTCTCCTTTTTTTCTAGAGAAAGATGTTGAATGCAAAACCAACCCACCAATCAAAAAATAAAAATAAGAAAAAGAACCCCCCATCCTACTTCAAGTAAAAGATCTCACTAAGGTTTCACAGGTATATATTAAATTCACATCTTAAATCAACAGGATTTGGGGGCAATACTTAACATTTTTTAGCTTATTTCCTGAAAGAGTTGAGAAATGTCAAGAACAAATTATTTATCATGTTCTGTTACCCTGCATATTGCAGTGATTATTTTTTTAAGCTGAATTCTCTTCAGTGGCAACTTTGTTCTAACCTCATAAAATGTGGCACTGCAGAATTAGCCTTGTAGTAATTAAAGACAAGTGAGATTTTTTTTTTGTCTCCTAAGTGCCCAGTTGTAGGTCTAAAATAAATTGAAGAATTTTTCTGTAAAATTATCCTAAAGTTTGGAGATGGCCTGATCCCATTTCTCAGTCCAGTTCCTCTGAAAGCTTATAGCAAATGAATGGAAGCAAGCGTAGCTCAGAGTTGGGACCAACCACACGATCTGCGTTGATTGAACCTGTCAGGCAAAAACGCATCAGTGACAAAGCCACTGACACTTGCAAAGTCCTAATTTAAATATCAGATCACTTTGGTCAATTTTCTTCCTAACTGTAGAATTAAATTGCAACCATGATGCAAGATTGAAGTGAATAAGGGCTATCTGGGACTATTTCTACAACATATCCACAAAGCTTTTCTCCCTCAGTCCTTGTGTAATTTCACATATAATTCTGCTTACACCAGATAATTAGAGAAAATAAGGGTGACCCAACCTTCCTGTGTCACCAAAATGGGAGTGCAGCAGTATTCACTGAATGGAAATGCCTGTGGATGTGTTGCCTGGCTAGCTAGCCCATCACTTGTGTGGCCAGTTAGGCAAAGCCCATCCTGGCTGTTGAAGGCATCCCCATGCAGCCTTCTGCTAATGAAGCTGGGTCTGGGGTGGAAGAAAAATCCTACTGCAAGAGTATCATAATCTGTTGGAGCTGTAGGTGCTGCGTATCGTGCCAGAATTACAAAGCATTGAAGGAGAGCCTAAATAATCATCCTTCGTACTTGTGCAGGGTTGGATAACTAGCCAGGATTTGGCCTCACTCTGCTAGTGTTTCTAGCAGAGTGAGACAGTTCTGTCCATCAGAATTTACACTCAGCGTAGAAAATGCAAAGGACAAGAAGAGAGAGGAAGTATTCTCTTTTTAGGAACAGAAGAGCTAAATGAGCTATCCATGTTGTGATGGGCACTTTTGGCAGAGCTTGCTCTTTTTTTTTTTTGCCCACACTTTTATTTGCTTTTCTGAGGTGATAAGAAACATCCACTAGTCATTCAAAAAGCAATATAAATAGACCACTAGTAACCCCAAGTAAGAAGTAGTAGTGAGCATTGACTTGCTTTCTAAATTACAAGAGTAAAACAGCTTTCAATGCTTTCATTTGCATTTGAATTTAAAAAAAAAACACATAAAACACACACAGAAGTTTTCTCTTTGAAAGGAGGAACTACATGTTGTCCAATTGCAAACAGTCTTGAAATGCTGCTTTTTGCTTGCTGCTGCTCAGCAAATATTTTCTCTTTCCTGGCAGGACAGGGAACAAGAACTGGAGCAACTGACAAAGGAGCTGCGACAGGTCAATCTCCAACAGTTTATCCAGCAAACAGGAACGAAGGTCACGGTGCTGCCTGCAGACCCCATTGAGGTGGAGGCCCCACATGTGGAGCTCGAGAGAGGTGCAATGCTCAGAATGGTTTTGGTGGGAGGGAGAAGGGGATGACAACACGTGTACATGCTGCATTACTGCTAGTCCTCACACATCAAGTGTATGCTTGGTTAGCAAAGAAGCTAGCAAAATATTAACGGAGAATGGTGTGAAATATTTCTCCTAATCTCAAGGGTTTAGCAAGCTATAAATACAGCACAGTATGTTGGTAGCTTCTCTCTCACTGTGCCTAAGCCTGTGTTTGTCCCATCTGTAGTGTGTTAGGCCATTATCTCTCAAATATGGCCAATGTGGCTGCAGGCACATAAGCTGGCACGTAGGGTGGTTGCATGTCTGACATTGCTCGTCATCTGGTTTCTTCCTCTTCTGGGGGGTTATGTTGTCAGTTTAGAAAAAGGAATGCATCTGGATCTCAAGAAATCCCAGACAGCAGCTGCATGGGAATAGGATCTAACCCAGCTGGGCGTCCAGGCACCTGCACAGATGGCTGTTAACAGCATGTGCAGACTGACTTTGCCCGCGGTGAGATCAGTGCATTCTGCATATGCCCACAGCTGAATTCAGAATTTTCTGCTCAGGAACATGGGAGCACTTTAAATGCATGCAAGAACCGGCACAAGCAGAAACTTCTTTGCTTTCTGTTGCCTCTGCTGTGTTGTGCCTTATCTAGTGGTCTGCTTACATAGACCTGTTTGTCTCAGCGTTCCCTTTAGCTGTAAACTTTCAAACCAAAAGGTATTGGTAGGGTAAGAAGGTGGGAAGAGGAGACAAAACAACCAGGCCTTAAACATCAGCACTTGAAGAGTATGAAGTTTCTCTTTCAAGTGTGCAGGAAGTGTTGAGTTTATGTACAGGTACAAGTTCTTTCTGCACATTGCTACATAAATGTATTGCATGTGTATGTGTTCCTTGTGGAAGGGTAATTATATTGAGTAGATATACCTCTATTTTGCAATGAGTGGGAAGTGTGCACCTCAGATCTCATCGCTTCCTAGTCAGGTATTTGGGTTTTTTGGTGTGTGTGGTATTCTTTTTCTAACCTGCACTAACTGCACAACTAAGCAGGAAGAAGACAGGTGTTCTACGGATGCTGCTCTTGATGATGACTTTTCTAATTGCTGTCTTTCTTGTGCAGAGCCAACATTTCAGTCTGGGTCATTGAAGCGCCCTGGCTCATCGAGGCAGCTCCCCAGTAACCTTCGGATTCTGCAGAATCCCTTGTCGTCTGGTTTTAACCCGGAGGGCATTTACGTATGACAGTATATACCTCTTCTGGAGAGGACCTAGCAAGGTACCCTGGACAAGATACACTTGTTTTATTCTGCCAATGATGAATGGAAGAAGCTTTTTTCTGTTAAGCCACCATGTGTTTTTTTTTCTTCCTCCAACATACCACTTGGAGCCATACCCTGTGCACTGATGCTAAAGAGACAGGAACTGTCTCAATTCTTAATTGGCAACAATGAACTTGCTGTCACGCAGCTAGAGTGCAAAAACCTTCATTTGTTTTTGCTACTTCAGAAGTGTTCGGGAAAGTATTATTCCATGTATAGGCGTAAATAAAAGACTGAGGGTGAAGGAAACCATGTATGCAGCTGATCTGAGGTTTAATTTATTCCATTTAATCAATGGACGTGTGAATGTTGACCTTTTATATTTTTTTATTTTTAACTTGTGAATAATCATGTATGGTTGTACATCCGTCTGACAAGGTGACTTTAACTTGCATGTACAAACATCCACCATTTGATCAAGTACAACAACTTGCAATGCAGAGAGTTGTTTTGAGTGCTGAACTTTTAAGATGGTTTCTCACCACTGACTTTGTTAATTTCTGTTGTGGGTCGTGTGTCCTGTTCCATCCATTGCTACCTTTTAAGGCTTGAAAAGTGAGTCTGTGGGATTTACTTGCTGTTGAGTCTGCCTTGAATGAAGCACCTAGTGTTCAAAAGACTTGTGGAATTTAAACCTTGGCTTGGTAAGAATATTTACAGCATATGATTGAGGATGCACTAGTTAGATGATATTTTATTATATAGAATGTATATTTGAAATATTTTGCCACATTGTATATGCCTTTTGAGAAAAGAACAAGTAAGAAATTGTCTTCATTTATCTCACCAAAAGAGAGTAGGAGGCTTTCACTGTGTGTGATTTTGTACTTTATTTTTACCACTAGCCATTACAGTGTTCTTGTTTTGCAATAAATCTTGCTGTTGGAGGAGAGAAAACAAAACAACACAAATGAGCATCCTCTTCCAGCTTTCCAGAATTCACTTAAGTTTTGTGGAGGGAAGAAATCTGGCAGAGTCCTGTGAAGTGAATAGCAGAGCTTCTACTGACTTGAGCAGGGCCAGGATTTTATTCCAGGTCCCCAGTAATAAATGGTAGGCTTTAGCCCCTTTGAAAGATGTATTTCTACTTAGTCAGTTACAGATCATAAAGCTTACAAGAAGGAAATCTGGATTTTTTTTTATTTTAACAACAACAAAAAAAAAGTGATAATATTACATCTTGATGTCACTATAATGCAATCAAAGCTAAGCAAAGTTTTTGACAAAATGGCTTCTGTGCAGAAAGAAAGATACTACCAAGTAGCATGTTAGTTATAGGCCTCGACATTGATTGAGAGTGTGCACACCAAGTTTCCAGAGAGAGTTTCTGGCATCAGTGAGACACTTGATATACATTAGGAGGCTACAACCTTGTGGATGAGTCAGAGAATGGGTGGGCCTTACCTAGTTGCATTTTGATTTCGGATTGCTGTTTTAGTAGGAACTCAAACTATTATCCACACATTTGAGTTCACCTTGACATGACAGGACTCACAGTATGTTCACTGCAGTATTTAATACTTAGGTCCCCAGCACATAAATGCAAAGGGTAACCCCAGACTTCAGTGGGTGGCAAAATGACAAAACTCCTGATGCCTTTTGTTAGGTGAGGATTTTACCACTGGTAGGAAACTCCCAGCTTTTTGCCATAGAAAATGCTGAAGAATTTTAAACTCCTAGCATCCTCTTGTGTCAATTTACTGATGTGCAGATAAATGTTAATTTAAATTTCCTTCTTCTTTTTTTTTTTTTTTTTTGAAGGGGGGACTTTAAAAAAGGAACTTTTTTTAAAAGAAAAAGAAACAACAAAAAAAAAGGAAAGTCCTAGTCATAGTGACAAATGGAAGCTTTATAAGATATAGTAGATGAAGGACTCCTGAGTGTTTAATGCATTTTTCCTTTCCACTTATTAATAGCTTCATATATTCTAAAAATGCTGCTGTATTTAGACTAACAGCAACAGATAAGGCTGTGAATATATAAAGGACCTTTCCAAATGGACTCTGAATTTTTAATGGTTAAATTATCAGGTCTTTTTTTTTCCTCGTGAGTAACTGGAAAATGAGATGTTCCTACCCGAGTAATCTTTGCAGTGCTCACAGATTTTACTGTTAGTTATCACAATTCTGTGCTCATGTTTACTGTGCCCATAACTTTGTATGAAAAAGAGAATGTGTATATATATAAATATATATATTAAAAAAGTGTAAAATATACATAGTTTGGGGACGATATCTGTCCAAGGTACTTGAGCATATATGCCTTACATTCTGGGTTCAATTTACAGAAAAAAAATGGCCATCTCCAGTGGATATCTTGCATCTTCAGCACCTCCTCTTGACATTAGAGAACTGAGGCACTCAGCACCTTGCAAAGTCTGGCCCGAATTATGCTGCATGGGGGCACAGGGGGACACAAGGAAAAGCCTGTTGCAATCTCAGCCTTGTACTGAGATGAAGCAATTTTAAGGCAGATTAGTGTACTTACCCAGCTAGTGCTTGTGTCATACTTTAAGTAACTGGTCCGTCTCCCACAGATATCAGTTTGAAGTTATTGAACTCTTGGATCATAAAAGCTGCCCTCTTTTTCTGCCAGGCTGTTCTTTAGGTTGGAGAGAAGAGGAAAAGGATTTAAAGGAAGGGGAGGAGCAGCTTTGGAGGTCTTGAGTTACAGCTTCGTAATAGAACCTAAGAAGGATTTTCCCATTTAAGTTTTTTGTTTTTGTTTTTTTGTTTTTTTGTTTTAAAGGTATCTGCTGGTTGCAGCAGCCATTTGACAGAAGGGCCAGCCTGGAGCTGGCTCAGGAGTGACCACTGCATCATTGAGTGGACCCTCCATATCAGGGCTTTAGCATATGTCAAGGTGATATAGAAAACATTTACAGTTTCAACCACTGTTGTTGTGGGTAAGGAGAGGCGTTCGTATCTGAACATTTGTGAGACAGTGACAAATTCACAACCCCCTCTTCCCCCCCTCCTGTTGCTTATTAAATTTCACCCAGGTTAAAGTTTGTAGCATTTGCACCCTCTCTGTAAATAAACCAAAAAGAAATGGCATGCCCTTGCATTAAATGTGAATTGAATAATGTATTAGTTATAAAATTTCCTCACATTATGGTGGTAAGAGTTTTGCTTCTGATCAACTACAGAACCTCACTCTTTCTTTACAAAAATAGAAAATTTCATTTTCCGAAGTGTTTCAAACCTCCTCATGGGGCATTAGCAAAAAGGAAGCTACACATGCTAATTCTAACAAGTGCCATATTATGTACTGGCCAGCATGATAGTTCTTTTGTTTGCTTTAAATAGTTGAATACACAAGCACTATTTTCCAGTGCACAGGGAATTTATATGGAGAACTCCTGTAATTTATTACTAATGATAATTAACTGTGTTACCTCTCTCATCTGTGAGGATACAGTTTATTTTCACTGGTTGTTGGGGGAAAAAGGGGAGAGTGATTGTTTGGCAAGCCCATAGGGTAAGGCTGAGGTAAACATTCTAAATGCCCAAGCAACGGAGAAATGCAAGTCCCACTTTGAAAAGTGAGCCAGGAACCTGCCTCCCATTACCTTTCAGTGGGACTTAGGTTCCCAAGTGCCTGAATTGCTTCTGAAAATGCTGATAGCTTTGAGATTACTTGCTTTTCTAAACCCTAGCAAGTTGGAAGAAAGTTCTTCAGCAAGAGACCTATCACTAGCATTAGCAATATGCAAACATGTTTTCATTGTGAAGTTAGAGGGAAAAGATCGTTTAGTGAAATAAATCTCCTCTTGGGGCACTAATTGCCTTCTTTTTATTGTGAAGAGTATTGCATTATTTTAGTGAACTGGGATCATAAGAGTATGAGCAAAATATTGATCTTGTCATTTTTAGTGAGTTATCTTGAAGCATATAAATTCCTGATGTGCATTAACTTGAGTGAATTGGGCCTTAATGATCAATATAAATAACAAAACTGTATTCAGATATTTTTTTCCATAAAATAGTCTCTAATAGTCTGTACTGTATTAAAATAAGTGTTAAAGTGTTACTTTTATATTACACTTTTATTTTTTTTAGAACATTGAAACATGCATGTTTATTCTATTTGCTACAGTATTTTAATGTTTTGGATGAAGGCCATCGGTTGTATGGAGATGACAAAACAATCATTCTGTCTATTTATTCAGTATTGCTGCTTAAAGTTTTCAAAATAAAGCTTTCAATGCCAATATAGTGACTAATTGAAAGCTGTTCTAGCTCTCTTCAGACCTATTTTCTATGTTTATATAAACCTAAAGAAGTGAAACTTGGTATATAAACTGTTATACCAGCGAAGAATTGTTGCAATAATGTTGTGGGAATGGTTGAGGGTATGTGTGGTATATACATAAATACATGCATGCAGTGAATGCATTTAGGCCTTGAGTAAATGAAGTGCTGAAGAATGTTCAAATCCTTTGCCATCTTGCAAGCAACTTACATGTGTGACCAAATACTGGCTAATGCATCGTACTAGTGTGCAGTGCTTATGAGAGACACAGCAAGTAGATGTGGTTGTAAAGATCTGGGGCCCTTTGAACCAAATATGGCTTGACCATATTCTTGAGAATTCCATAGATGTGTTTCTGAACTGGGCCTAAAAGTGTGCTCTGATGGAAAAATCTTTACGTTGCAGCAAAGATGTCTCATTTCAAGCATAGCCAGTACCTCTGAAGGTACCTCTGAAAATTCAAAGAGTTCTGAGATGGGCAGAGGGTTCTGAGATGGTTCAAGTATGGCCACTGTATTTAGTAGAGGGTATCAAAATGCAGAGAATAACACTCACCTTCATGAATATGGTCACCCAGTGAAACTAATGGGTCTCTAACTGGAGAGACTTGAGTTGCTGAAGCTTTAACATTGAGAAGCAATGCCAATTAACTGTGAAAACATTAATGAGCATTTGATTACTGCTCTGCTTCAGTGCAGGATAAAAATCTGTACTATGTGTAACTATATTTTGTCATTTTAAAAAGCTTCTATTTTTGATTATTCTCATGAACAGTTGATGAAAGATATTGAATATGCTCCCATACAATAAATTCCCCTCTGAAACTTTGGGTCTTTACAGTTCATGGTTTGCTGGAATTGCACTATACATCTCGCGGACATCTCGCATACAGCTACTGGAACTGTGTCCATCAAAGAAGAAGGTGATGTTCTGTATGTCCAGACCTCAAGTGCTTCCAGAAACGGCCTTATGTTGAGCATTAGGGCGCTGAATGCTCCCAGATGGCAATTTACTTGGGGGCAAGGGACATGCAGATGGTCAGTGTGAGGCCTCCACCAGAAAGTGTGCACAAACTATATTTTCAGTATAAATGCTGCCTGGGAACTGGAAGAGATGGAGGAGCTTGTTTTCACATGAGGAGCTATTACAAAGATTAATATTCATCCCAAAATGATAGAATTGGTCTGCAACTCAGGCGAAGTTTAACTTTTAAAGCAGAGAGGCAGGGGTTTGTTTGGAGATGATCAAGGAGAGAAATTGAACAGCCAGAATCTTCACAGAAAAGAAAAAAAAAACACATGCACACACAAAAAAAAAAGGTGCACGCATGCTTCAGCAGGAAGAAATCAAGCTTTGAGCAAGGAACTGAAGGCTCGGTTCAGGCTTAATTCTTGTGCTGAAGACACCAGAGCCTGTGAAGATCCCTTGAGTTTATTTTTGTTGATCAAGGCAAGGAACTCATCACAGCCAGGGAATTGTTATTTAAGCTATCCATATACAGTCCATAGTCTAATATCCTACCAACCATCTTTTCCTAAACCAGCTGGAACCTAATCTTATTTGCTGATCTAACAGTAGTAGGACTGTGGACAGGCAGTAAGGTAATGCCATGAGCTTTACTGAAACCCTAGCAAGTGGCATTCATATTGGAAGGACCATGTAGGTTGTAGAGGACGTCTGTTCCTGAAAGCTGCCCTTTTCTGCATCTGTCCAAGTCAACTGGCTGCTTTCTGTGGTAACCAAGGTTTCCCAGCACCCTCAGCAGAGTCAGTGGCACAGCTAATGGTTCTGATCTTTTGCTTTCCTTTATAGAACAAAGTGATATATTTGTGCATGACTGCTGCAGCACTAACTAGCTTATTGTAACTGGACCCCTAATGAGTTGCAAAACCAGACCAGATCAATGGTCCATTTCATTTAAAAGCCATTCTGGGTTCTGCTTGTTGCACCCTTGTCAGCTAGGTACTATTTCCTTATAAACCCGATTTTTAATGACTGTTTCAACTAACTTCTCTAGTGTCTGAATTACAACACAATAAGCGACAGTCCCCATTATTGCCTTTCTTGAAAATGATGTATTTGCTACCTTTGGTATTGTAGCTAATGGTAATTTCTAGGTCAGCCACTGTTTCATCATTAACTTTCTCCAGAAATACTGGATGGAGGCAGTCTCAGCTGCTCTGACTTGTTTGATTTTTCCAGGTGGGTATGCTGTGCACTGTGTCCCCTCCTTTGCAACGCATTCCCTGTCTGTGTTCTGCCAGGTCACCAAGCAGTGGCTTTGATTTGTTAAGTGTGAGCAACTGCCAGGTGGGTGACTTGAAAGAGCCTCTTCAGAATGTGGTAGTGCAGTGAGGAACTTGATGCAAGCAGAGGTGATGAACTTAACTGAGCACCCTCACCACCTGTCTGATCAGCTCAGCCACTGCCAGTGTCTATGTACTGCTTCTGGTGGGTCTGTCCATGTCCCCTGGGGCAAGAAACTTCCTCGTTGTTGTACACACAGCCCTGGTGTTTCTCTCCTGTGTGTGTGATAAGCTCTGCAGTGACTCATGCCTAAAAGAGATGTCCACCTCTCTTGCAAAATAAATTTTGTTTGTTTTTATTTTATGGAGATGCTTTTCTGATCTGAATCCCTGGCTGTGGAAGGGCAGCAGGAATCTCTGCATTCTGTTATGTGGTGGGAGAGGTCATCAGAGTGACCTGTTTAGTTTAGTCATCCAGAGGTTGAATGGTGAAAGGCAGCTACACCAGAAGGGATCTTCAGCTGCAACAGTCGCCAGTTGGGTGTCAGTCTCTAGATTTTGCTTGGGTCCACATGAGTTAAGTATGTATGACCTTTCAGTTTCCAGTCCTCTAAGTCACAGGTATATCAAGGAAAAGCAAAGTTATGGAAACAACGTGAAGCTCACTCAACGGGACAGATTCTTGAACAGTAATACACAGATGAATGGTATTTGGCCTGTAACGGTTATAAGCTATATCCCACACCCCTGTCTCATTTAATCACGTTATTAGTTGCATACATTATGGCTCATTCCACAACAGCATGCTTTCATTTAAGCTGTTACTGCAAAATATGGAATTTATGCTATGCTCCAGCTATAAATTGATGCTAGTTCCAGCTATGTTTTCCCCCTTCTGTGCATGTTTTTGTATGTGCTATTTTGTGTCTGTTGATTTGGCTATGCACTTTGTCTTGCTTTACCCCTCTGCAGCAGGAAGAAAGAAGACAGTAATTGGGAGGTCTAGTGTGAAAATGCAACATAAAATTACTAATATTAAATCCTGGATCAAGGTGGATGGAATAAAAGTTTCTTTTTAATGAATGCAAGTTTGAAGAAAAATCTTCAGAACAGTTCCAGCTGGGCATATGAATGGTCTGCTTAAAAACAAACAAAAACCCTTTTGCCAATAATCAGCTGCCTAGGTATTTTAAAAAGGAAGGCTTCTGGTAAACAGAAAAGGAGAGAGGGGTAGATGTGCACCAACAGCTGTAACCCAGTTACTTGCCCTGCAGCCCCTTTCAGTACTTGTGTGATAGAAAGTGAAGGGTATCATCCAGCTTTAGAGGCAGTGACAGTTGCTAAAATAAAACGCAGGCCAGCCTTTAAATGGGGAATAACTGGAATGTCTTTGTTGCTGCCCATGAAGCTTCTCATAAATTTGTACCTGTCACAACCTGCAATGATATACCCTTTTTATTAGGTGTACCAACCTCCTTTTGATTAAATGTTGTGTGTGAGAAAAGATGATTTGATTTTAGCAGTCAGTATCAACCTGAGGTGAACTTTGATCAGTGAGGTAGAAGTGCCCTTTTGGAAAGCTGATGAGAAACCCAAGAACACTGGCTGACCTTTTACCATGCTTTGGTGCTGTAACGTTGTCTTAACTGTTATCTTGACCTAGCCGATCTGCATCATGGTTACCAAGACTATGACCTCGATTCTCCATTGTCATGTAGCTTGTCTCATGAACAAAACCAGCATGGCTGAGACACTGACACAGCTGAACGAGAAAGGTAGCAGTGTCCGTTAGCTGTGCGTTGGTGTGAAAGGCTACACGAGATGCAGGGCACCCGATAGTTGTGCCCCCTTTGACTCTGTCAGATCACTGCAATTACAGCAAGGTCTACACGAGAGGGCAGCAGCACATGCTGACATGCCTCGAACAGCACAGTCACAAAGCCACGTTGCAAAGCAGCTTTTCTGGGCATACAGCACACAATAGGGAATCGTAAAATACACAACATGCCACCTTTAAATGCATTCTTGCAGGAAGGACACAATAATACTTATAAAGAGCTGCCCATGTTGCAGCATGCGTGTGGCGTGATGCAGTTCCCACAGTCTCTGTGAGGCAAGCTAAGGCCCTTCTGAAACCTTAAGTACAGACGTGGGCTGAAGCATTCCGTCTCTGAAATTATATTGTGCCTGGGACTGGGAAGCTCTTGTTTCTCTTTACAGCTTTGCCACAGATTTCCTGTGTGTGACCTTGGGCAAGCTACTATAATCCCTCTGGATTGGAGTCCCCCAGCTGTAAGCTTGAGATAATACTGCTTCATCCCCTTTGACTTTGTCTATATATACTGCAAGCCCTGTGGGGAATGGTGTCTTGTTTCCTATTTGTTTGGCAAACAGTACTTAGCCCTGTGTGGTCCTGTTCATGGCTGTGCCATCTCGATAGTATTGCAATAAAGTATATTTTTTCATTGTACCCAGAGAATGACAAAAAGTCACTCTGAGTTGGTTTTACTTTAGAGTAAGAGCAAGATGCAGGTGTGACGAGGGAAGCTGGGGGTTTCTGAAGGTGAATTCTTGTTTAGCTTTAAATTGATTTTTTTTTTTCTAAAGGGATACAAAGGAAAGGCAAGTAAAAGAATAACAAACAAACAAAAACTCTTATTTCAACTTTAGTTCAACTGATTCTTCTTCCAAAACAATGCTATTACAAGAGGCAGCCTAACTCCTTTCCCAAGTGCTACTTGCACGTGTGTTGTAGCTAATCAATAGAAATGATTGACTGAACAGGCGGAGATTTCCTCGCTGGTCCTAAAAGTTCCAGTATTTCCACAGGCCTGCTGATGTTCTAGGAACGTACAAGCAACTAGTAATCCCCTGTGACAGGCTGCCATTTCATGATTGTCTGTAGAAACCTAGGTGTCCTTTGGTATTATAGTGGCTGAAGAGGGAAAGTGCACAAGAGTTACATCGTACAAAAAGGCTGCCTTTTTTTTTTTTTTTTTTTTTTTTTGATTCTGATGTGTTTTCTGAAAGCACTTCCCCCAAAAATCTTCAACAAGCCGTCAAGCTGCCCTTACTCTGGAGACCTATAAAGAATGAGCAACCTTCAACGATGCTCAGTACAAAGACTTAACCCTTCTGCTCAGTTCTGAGATTAATGATCATTTTAAGGAACTGCCATCTGATCCACTTACGTTATAGTTAGTGAGCTACAGGCGTTTGACAAAGCAATGAGTAATCAGCCCCACAGCACTTTATCTCATATCCTGCTCAATAAGTTCTTGCTACCTTTGTCCACAGTCACCTCAGGAAGTGTACAGCTGGAAGCACCTCCTTCTATGAAAATCTCTCCTTTGATAGAAAAATGGACTTAGTCCATCCCAGGCATGCAATAACGCAGATAACCACATACTTCACGTCATGTGAGCACATGCACAACAGCCCAGTAGCCTGAGAAGTGTAAGTACCTAGTGAAACGACATGTTTGACACATCTTCATTCATTGTTGGAACACAGTCTAAAAGTCCCAAGAAAGAAAGTCTGTTATAATATGAGCACACACATACATGTGCAT